GGGGCATCGCAGCCTCTCTGGGCAGCTGTTCAGCCCCTCACCGCTCTCCCAGCACACAACTTCCCTGAGCCCCAGCCTCCAGCTGCCCTCCCTCCGCTTCCAGCCGTTCCCTGCTCTCATCTCCCCTGCCCAAGAGCTGCCTCCCCTCCTGGCTGCAGGCTCCCTGCAGGCGCTGCAGGCTGCACTCAGCTCAGCCCCAGCTCCTCTTCTCCATGCTGAACGAGCCCAGCTCCCTCAGCCTGGCTTTGCAGGGAGCTGCTGCAGCCCCTGCTCATCCCTGTGGCTCCTCTGGCTCCTCTCCCACAGCTCCCTGTCTTGTATTGGAACCCCCAGCCCTGGACGCAGTGCTGCAGTTGGGGCCTCAGAGAGCAGAGCTGACAGGGACAATCTCCTCCCTGTCCCACTGCCACCCCTCTGCTGATGGAAGGAATCTCCCAGAGGAGACATTGAGGCCGTTTGGAGTCGGCAGCTTCTGCTTGCAACAGCAGGGCAGGCGGGGAGGGCTGGCAGCCGCTGTGCTGCTGTGCTGCTGGACCTCTGTCTGCAGCCTGATTGCGCCATGTGGAAGCACTTAGCGGCTGTGCTGAGCGTGCGAGGCTGATGTGCTGCGGTCCATGCGGGGCTGCGCTGCACAGCCAGGAGCACACGAGGGGCCGCCCTGGCTCAGGGTGAGCTGCTCCGTGTCCCTGGCTCAGAGCGGCCCTGGCTCGGTGGATCTCTGAGCGCTGGGGCTGCGAAGGAGGAGCTCTGCGCTCCCCTGTGTGCTCTGCGCTCCTCTCTGCACTGAAATGCTTTGGGCTGCAGGAGGAGTCGCTGCTCCCCAAGAACCACGAGGGTGGGACGTTGCAGGACTTGGGTCACCCTCAGAAAAGAGCAGCTGTGCTCTGCACGCAGCCGGTGATGGGCGTAACGAGGTGATGGCCTTAATGTGCTTCAGTCAGAAGGGACATTTGAGGGCTGTATTTCCAACTCCCTGCAATGCTCGGGCACAGCAGTGCTGGCTCAGGTGGCTCCAGGGCTGCTTGCAGTGCCCAGGGGTGGCACAACGCACAGCAGCACCGCCGCTGCCGTGGGATGTTCCCTTACACCCAACCTGGGCCTCCCGTGGCTCAGCCTGACGCCGTTCCCCATTGCAGAGGAGCCCATCCCCTTGGGATGCTGAGAGCCCTCCTCCAAAACCTGCTCCTTTCGCTTTGTGGAATGAGAAGAGCTTTCCTATCAGCAGCGGCTCTCTGTGCTCCCTGTGCTGATAGCAGCAGCTCTGCTGACAGCTGTGCTTCCCATCGGGTTGGCACGCTGACACCAGTGCCATCCCAGCTCCTCATAGGGGATCGTAGGGTGGCCTGGGTTGAAAGGAACACAGCGAGCATCAGTTCCAACCCCTGCTGTGTGCAGGTCACCAGCCAGCAGCCCAGGCTGCCCAGAGCCACATCCAGCCTGGCCTTGGATGCCTGCAGGGCTGGGGCACCCACAGCCTCCTTGGGCAGCCTGTAACAGTGCCTCACCACCTGTGTGAAAAACTTCCTCCTACATCCAACCTCAGCCTCCCCTGGCTCAGTTTTACACCATTCCCTCTTGTCCCATCACCACCCACCCTCACAAACAGTCGTTCCCCCTCCTGTTCACCCGCTCCCCTCAAGTTCTGGAAGGCCACCATGAGGTCTCCCTGCAGCCTTCCCTTCTCCAAGCTGAACAAGCCCATCTCACTCAGCCTTCCTTCTCAGGAGCAGTGCTCTGCTCGCCTCTGTGGCCCCCTGGACCCGTCCCAACAGCTCCTTGTCCTTCTTGTGCCAGGGATCCCCGTGCACAGCGGCTTTGTCCTCCGTGTTTGGTGTCTCAGCCCTTCTTGTGCCCCACAGTGAACGTGGTGGAGGCCCTGCAGGAGTTCTGGCAGATGAAGCAGTCGCGTGGGGCCGACCTGAAGAACGGAGCCCTGGTGGTGTATGAGATGGTCCCAGCCAGCAGCCCGCCCTACGTCTGCTACGTCACACTGCCTGGAGGCAGCTGCTTTGGCAGCTTCCAGGTACGGCTGCAGCCCTGAGCGCTGCTGGGATGAGCAGCACTTGTGGGGTGGAGCTGGGATGGGTTGGTGGGTTGAGGTTCCCTTGCAGGGTCCTGGGTTGCACCCTGAATCTCTCCTTGAAATGCCAAAACTGGAAAACAAACCTCTGTGTTTGATTGGTGCTCGCGGCCTTCCTATGAGAAGGAAAGCATCCCACCCAAATATCTGCCCCAAATATGAAGGGCTGAGAACCACAGCGGCTCCTGGCAGTGCTGGATCACAGAATCACAGAATGAATCACAGAACGGCCAGGCTTGGAAGGGACTCCAGGCTCATGGAGCTCCAACCCCACCCTGCTGCCAACCTCCCCATGTTTCACAGCAGCCCAGGCTGCCCAGGGCCGCATCCAGCCTGGCCTCCAACCCCTCCAGGGACGGACGGGGCATCGCAGCCTCTCTGGGCAGCTGTTCCCATTGCAGGTGCTGTGAGGTGCAGCTCTGGGCCGGAGGACCGTGTCCAAAAGGATCAGTTCTGGCAGCAGAGCCCGGCCCAGGAGCCCACAGTGCCCATGTGCTGCCGTCTGCTTTGGTTCTGCTGGGATTTGGTTCTGCTGAGGCTCTGATGGGCAGCGCATCTCGGAGCTGTGCTCACAGTTCCACTGCCTGCCCCCATGGCTTCGGGGTGTCGGAGAGCCTTCCAGAGTTACGCAGCACTGCTGCCTGGGGGCTGTGGTGTGGGGCTGGGGGAGGACCTGCTGCAGCCCTGCTGTCCTCATGCTGGCGTGGGGCTGCGGCTCTGTGGGATGGAAGGATGGTGGGTGGATGAACAGACGGATGGATGGATGGATGAACAGACGGATGGATGGATGGATGAACAGACGGATGGACAGACGGATGGACAGACGGATGGACGGATGGATGGAGGGATGGAGGGATGGAGGGATGGATGGATGGATGGATGGATGGATGGA